TGTGTGTGTCATAAAAAAAATGGTCTGGACACTTTCGGATGGACAGTCCCAGCTCAAGTAGCCAATGCTGCCTGACTCTCCGGGCACATTCAGGTGATGAGCAAGAGAAGGGGCTGCTGAGGATCCTCCAAGGTCAAGACCTGGGGCAGGTGGTTTGAGGCCAGGCACTCAGCCTCCGCTGAATCACCTCCTTGACCCCAGGAACTCGAAGGGCTGCAGCTCATTCTTTACAGAGCAGGCAAAATATCTTCTCTCCCACAGTGGGGCTCACGCTGCAGCCCTCCAAAATGCTGAAGTGTCTGCTTCTGTGAAAGGAGGCGGGGTTCAAAGACATTTTCAAGGCTGAGTTCCACAGCCTAGACCTCATGGGCATCTGGCAGCAGCTGGTCTTCTCCAACACATGCTCTTGGGCCTTTGGGCAGGATTTTAAAGCAGCACTGTGTGCCCTGACTTTTCTAGGTGATATGGTAGGCTCCGATGGCATGCTAACCCTATGCTTGTCACTTTCTCATGAATATAGATACAGTTACTAAGCCAGCACAATGCCCTTTGGCACAGGGCTTCTGAGGCACTTCCTTCCGGCCGGGGAGGCATGTCTGAGCCCTGGGCAGCGCCAGTGCTTGGCATTCCTACTTTCCCAAATCATATCCAAATAAGAATTAGGCTCATCCAAACCACCCTGTATTCATATGATCCCACTGCTTTCCTGCTACCTTCTCCAGGGAGACTGAGGGTTTGGAACCAGGATGTGATCCCCCACGAGCCTGCCTGCTGTGAGGTCCTGGGACCCATCAAGGCTCAGATTCAGATTCGACTGGGAGAAAAAGAAGCAGAAAGGTTTTCAAAAGAATGCTTTCCAACGCTAGCCAAACATCACTGTTTTCTCCTCAAGGAAACATGCCTTTGAGACACGGAGGGGTTGTAAAACCTTTTATGCTAGTGAGGAACAAGTGAGGCGATTTTCACTCCAAGTGACTGACTGTACCTCAGACCTAGCCAGAGCTTCTAGCATGACAAGAACTAAGAATTCAGCCTTCACAGCTGTCGGCAGGGCATTGAACATCTTGGAAGATGGAAGGCGGGGGGTGTGTGTGTGTGTGTGTGTGATACAATAGGATACATGCAATCACGTTTCGCTAACGATAATGTTGTTAACATTATTAACAACAGAAACATAATTAGAACACTCTCCAGCCAGAGGTGAGAGGATGTTGAGAGTCTCGCTGTCCTAAGGGCTAGGAACTCGCTTATTTGCTCTCTAGAGCTTGAAACACACACACACACACACACACACACACACACACACACACACACACACACACACACACACACACACAGTGATCTGTGGGGAAGAGACTCTGGCCCTTGCTTGCAGCCTGGAGCAGGTTTCCTTGGCTGAAAGCAGTTGATCGTAAATATTTATATGTTGATCCGGCTGTGAAAAGCAAAGACACTCTTGGAGGCTCTAAACTGGAAGCAGATGAAAGAGGGTGGTTTCCCTACCCCGTTTCTGGCACTTTCACCGCTCAACTGGCTGCTGTCAATGACAGGAGAGACGCAAAGCATCGCAGTACAAGTTGCTGGCCCGGGAGGTGACGCCAGGCACACTGAGAACAGGGTGGCCTGCCTGTCTGCTGCTCCTGAAAGGGAACCACTGCTCCCCCGCTCCAGTTGCACAGAGGATCTGCCACAGGTTAACTTTCTCCCTTAGCAAAGAAAGGCCCATCGACTGAGCTAGCTTAGGTGCCATAATGTGGTTTTGCCTTTTAAACCGAGTGGCAGATCTTTGGACCTAGAATATGGTAAGGAATAAGAAAATTGGCACCAAAAAAAAAAAAAAAAAAAAAGGAGAAAGATTTAAAAACTAATGAGATAATAATCAGGGGATAGACTTTGCTTTCCATTCTGCATTTTTCACTTTGGCTGATTATAATAAATTTCCCCAAACCGATCATTCCCGGCCCTGAAAATGGAATTATGCCCTGATGAGGGAATCTACAGATTTTTCATTCGATGATGCCCAAAGAGCTGGTATTTTCTTCTCCAAGAGGGAGAAGGACAATATCGGGTGGTCGAATAAATCCGCATGCTGAAGGGTGTTTGAGAAGGATGTCAGGGCATCTCCGCAAGACCATGGGCCATGGAGACAATCTCGTCTGGGTGGCGCCTGCTGGCCCCTCACAGGCAGGAGCAATGCTGTCAGGGCCAGGGCTCTGCTTCCCATCTTGGCTCCGTCATTAATTGACCACGTGACCTTGGGCAAGTCACCTTCCCCTCTCAGGGCGTCAGTTTGCTCTGGAAAACAAGTGGCTGAAACGCAAGGGGCCACCCTGTCACGCCCCCGGTCTGGGCAGACAGTGAGCACGAGTGAAGTCGGCGGATGCTAGAGTCACTTTCCTTTGCAACAGAAACCCCTCTCGGTCTACTTTTTATTACTCCGCAATTGCTAGATACTCGGATCCAATAAATATTTCATTTTTTGAAAAAAAAAAATCAATGTTTCATTTGTCATACAAAGTGGTGGCTAAGACCCAGCCTCACTTTGGGGAGACGACTGGGAGTGGCGAGGACTGGGGTGAACTGGGATGAACTGGGGAACGCCAGTCTGTTTAAAGTTGTAGCCCCGCCTCCACTCCTCTAGTACCGGGGCTAGACTCTAAAGAACGATGCGAGATTCTCAGACGAGGGGAAGATATAGAATGAGAAGTGACGTGAGATTTGAAGGGTCCGAGGAGGGACCAGTGGAGTGGCA